TACGTATCTTCTCGTAGACGACTTTGATGAACAAGCACCTGACGTCGTACATGAAGGGGCTTACTGCCAAAGTGTTCCGTACCTACAATGCCTCCATCACCTTCCAAGAGCAGCTCGACCTCCTTACACCCTCGGAAGCTTCAGTCCAGGAGAAGCTCAACGCCTACAACAAAGCTAACCGCTTGGTCGCTATTCTCTGTAACCATCAAAGGAGTGTGCCGAAGACACATGGCCAATCGATGGAGAAAATGAACGACAAGGTTTGTCACCCGCTTCATCTCGTTTGTCTTCTTAAGTGACCAAAAAACTTCTGTAATGCGTTGTCAGCTGCGTGCCATCAAGTACGAGCGGATGAAGCTTCGACACGTGCTCTTCAAGATAGATAAGAAGTACAAGAAGAAGAAGCATCTTGCGGAGGACGAGTCCGACATTGACGATGCTTGGATCGCGTCGTACGAGGAGCAACTCAAGGAGAAGGAGCTCGACAAGGTGAAGAAGAAGTTCGCCAAAGACAACGAGAAGCTCGAGGCGGAAGGCAAGGACCCGCTTGCGGAGAAAGTTCTGGAGAAACGGCTTCAGGAGGTCGAGGACGACTTCGACCAGCTAGAAGAGGAACGGGGCACTCAGGAAGCGACGTTGAAGCGCAGCAAGGCACCTGAGAAGATTGAGGAGCTGATCGAGAAGCTTGACGATAAGATGAAGACGCATAAACTTCAGATCGTCGACCGCGAAGAGGGCAAGGAGGTATCTCTCGGGACGAGGTATGCCGTTTGTGTTTTTTCATAGTCGAACGGTTCTGATTTCCTATTAAACAGTAAAATCAACTACCTCGATCCTAGGTAAGAAATAAGCTCGATTTATCTAAATGCTTTCTTATTTACAATGCCTATGTAGAATCACTGCCGCGTGGTGCAAGCAACACGAGGTTCCGATCGAGAAGATCTTCACGAAGACGCTTTTGACTAAATGTGAGTTTTGTGATCTTCGTCTTTCCATTTCAAGGTCTAATCGACTACTCAGTCCCTTGGGCGATGGAGGTCGATGGAGAATGGAAATTCTAGAGCCATTCCCACTATAATGCTCCTACAGGATTTAAGTATATCAGGCTGCTCTCAGCCCAACCATTTGCTAGATTGGCTATTCGCGTTGCATTTGCATATTGACTTTTTACACATTCACCTGGACAACCCCCATCCACGATCTCACTTGCATTGTCCTTTTATACCTGCATATTTAACCCATACACAACTACGCGCATTGTCCCTGTTGTAGTACTACAAAGTTGCTGTCCGATTAAAGTGTAACCTTAATCCCTCTTATATTTGGTGGAATAGAAATGCATCGGTTTCATCAAAGTCGTAAACTCGAGCATCCGAAAACAAGATAAGTATCATCAAGAAAATGGTCGGTCCTGTTCTCCCTATTTCCCATTCGCCGCTTCTGCTGAAATGTCGCTACCAGATGTCTGAGTCCTGGGTCCCATTGGCGGTCGCCGAGCATTGGCTCTCTTTCTCTGGCCGCCAAAGAACCACGAACTTGAGGGGGCCGAAGAAGGCTGCGCGGTAGCAGATGTCGAGGTAATTACTGCAGCTTCTTGTTGGTCGTGAAAGTCGGTTGACATTCCAGGCGGCGACGTTGAGAGAGGGCTTGGTAGGTATTGCGCTGTCCCTCCCGGAGCAGGGAGAGGGCGAACGAGCGGTGGGGATAACCCAACAGATCCCGACCCAGGCCCCGTCAACGCCAACATCTTCCCCCCATAGGTCATCGACTGCGACGAAGACGGCGTCCTCGGGGTGCTTGACGCAGTCGCAACCATACTGAAGTTCGTGCTCCGCGTCGAAGTAGTCTGCGCCGTCGAGCGATGGACATGGCCCGCCGCGCTGCGCTTGCCCATGTTATTGCTGCTCTTACGCGAACGCACGGAACGGAGGATACGGTGCGCCCTGCTGTTTGCGCGGCTCGAGCTGTTGAGGGAACTTGCGTTGCCTCCGTGCGAGGAGCTGAGGCGGGAGGAGGGGACGGGACTCGTGGGGGCGGATCCGATGAGCGGGGTGCCCATGTCCTCGACCTCGTTCGAGTTGTCGTCCTCCCATGAGTGGGCGGCATACATTTCCTCAGCGTCCTTCTCGTCGACGTCGTCCTCCCAGTCATGAGATATCTTAGGCACAGATGCGTACAAATGGTCGGTCCCTCCGGTGTGGACGATCATGGAGTCGGTGACAGGAGGTAAAGGACGGACGGCGATGGCTGCGTTCGTCTTAGTATTCTCTTTCGTTGGTGAGGGAGAAAGAGAAGAAGTTGAAGAACGACTCTTGTTTAAGTTTACCGCAGAAATGTCGAGGACGAGTTTCGAGTGAAGTTCACGGCGCTTCTCAGCGCGTTGCTCCTCCGTCATGAATACCGGCGTAGGGTCCCAAGGATCGATTTTTAAATTTGTTCCTGGCACCTGAAAAAAAAATTTACTCGGTCGACAAGCACGGAGGGGGGGGGGGGGGGGGGTAAATGATAGCGTACCCTCGGTGCGGTCAGAGCATATCCCTCGGAGTCTTGGATGAGGTGCATCGGCTTTGGGTCGGAATTCGAGTCTGGATGGACCTGGGTACGGCCGTGCCTGTGCCACCAGAACTTCCGCCGCCTTCGACGCAAGAACACGACTGCCACGACAGCAAGAATGGCGCATATAGAACCAACTATGGTTCCGACCATCATCGGGACACTGTAAGTTCGTGAGCGAAGAAGGTAGTAGATTTTGTTTATCCCCACCTTTTGCTACTATGGGACGCAAGTTGGCCTGAAAGATGTGGTTAGAAATTCCGAATTTGTGACAGGAGACGAGAAAGCTCACCCGCCGGGGTCGCAGCTGGTGTCGGGGAGCCTGATGAGTTTGTAGACGAACAAGACCACTTTGATGATATTGGAAACGCTACGAGATTAATTAACCTCTTGCCAGCATCATGATAACTCACGACCACATACCTGCAGGCGCTGGGTTCGGCATAGCTGGCGGGGTCACAGCAGGAGGGGGCGTGAGGACTTTGACGTAGTCAATGTCGAGCGTGCCGCCTCCCGTCATTTCTACAGTCAATGCGTGCACAGTATCTGGATCCAAATTGCTGCGAGACCAGATCGCGATACTCTGCAATGTCGAGCCGTTCGTCAGGACGGTGCTGATGTTCTCGGAGAGTTCGTCCAAGTACACCGTCGCATTGGCTCCCTGGGCCCACATTGTGCCATAGTATGCGACTGCGGTGCCTAGAGAATTTGGTGAGGAGCAGATTCGTGACATGGAAAAAATACCGCTTACCTTGGAAAATGAAGCTCGCTCGTGCGCCAACGACATTCGTCGTACTTTCTGTATTATTGTAATACGAGGGAAGGTTTTGGACAAAGTTCCTGATGCACCACATTGTCGAGTTTGAAATTTAGGGGGCTAAATTGTAACTTTGTCAAAGCAGCTCACCAAGCAGAGTCAGAGGAATTGCACGGCGATGAAAAGGTCCACAAAGGAGATGTGTTGTCGATGCTGATGCTGGAACTCATCCTTGTAATTAGGGTGGAGTCGGGTTTGACATCCGTGGTTCCTGATAGGCCTCAGGTACAGATTTTCCTTCCCAAACTCAGCGGAGAGTATTCAATTTCCGAGGGGGGTGCTTGGTTTAATGAACCAAGTAGAGAGACGAAGGTGGAAGACGACCGCTGGGGAGAGAAGTACATGAACTCACAGATCTCTCCTTGCTTGGTGCGCGGGGTTCCCGATTCGAAGAGCATTCCTGCCAGCATGGGCATCTTGGCGGACTAATAGCACTCTTTCTAGATAATCTGTCATTCGCGGTTTGAGGGGACGCCGAGTATCCTGATTTGAGGTTATCTCCCATCCAAATACCCATGCGGGAGCGCCTTATTCAGTGCTGTCGGTCACATCGCTGGTTTAAAAATTCTTGCAACAATTCAAGAAGTCCGATGCGATCACCGAAGTAGACTCGAGAGGTGGGCGAGGCATATGCTGGGTCGACGAGATGGGAAACTTCCGACGTCTCGGTGTCAGTTCCGTACCATTCATGAGAAAGGGTGTATTTTCGTGATCGGATCGACCGTGGACAAGACCGTGATTGTGAGCGTCGACTATAAAAAAGCGCAGACGTAGTTCACGAGTCTGGATTCGTATTTTTCGTGACGTGACCTGTTTGTCATGATGTTTAACCCGATTTTTTAGTCAAAATGTCAGAAGAAAGACGTTTCAAGAGGCCGTTTCAAAGTACGTACGTTTAGAAATTCTATCAATCATTGCTGTAATGGCAGTCGAATTCGATTGAGCCTCAATCTCCTGTTAGCGTTTCCAAAAAATAATCCTCGTCACCAAAGAGAGAAAAGTTCTTCTGGAAGGAAGCTCGGCGCAATGAGCTTTATTTGCGGCGAAAGTAAGAACAGGATGCCGATTCTATCTTGGTCGGTCTGGACCCGTGAACTCCTATGAATCGATTTAACGAGAAGTTAAGCTTGTATGGATGGTAGGTTCAAGGCCGTTATTTTTGAGCCTGGACGACGGTTTGAATTCAGCAACGTGTATCTAATCAATTTTAGCAGCATCTACCTCCATCGTGATGAAGAATATCTTACCAGAGATGCAAAGAGATCCATTCTCGGTACTCGTATTCACTGGGTATTCATCGTTTACATGTAAATCCAAGCGTTCGAAGCGTTGCACGCCAGCTCAACTTGAAGCACACTGGCAATCCGAGTCTGCTGCCAACGTCAAAAATTGCCTGGGCAATTGTTTCCCTACTCCAATTTTCTTGAGTTTGATTTCCGCAAGGTTGGCAAAGGCTATAGCACGAGAGAGGTATATGACATCAGTTACGGTATGTTTTCATGACGGGAGTCAATGAGATGGAAGTGTAGGAGTTCAAGTTGGATTGCCAAGTGCAGTGCAAAAGAATTGAAGACCAGTCGCCCAAAATAGTTTTATTTTATATAGTATGCATTTGCCTTTTCTCAACAACGGGCGTCTAGCTCAGGGGTAGCAGCGCACGCTTCGCATGTTCAATGTGTCTGCGTGAGGTCGTGAGTTCGAATCTTACGTCGTCCAATGTTTTGCTTTGAATCTTGGATCAGTTTGCGTCAAGGGTATTTCAAAAGATGAAAAGGCATGTCACGCGGTCCCGATATGCTTTCGTTTTTTATTTTGTGCAGCGCCGGTACCGTAACTTCATTTGATATCATTCGATGGATGCATTTTACAAAATTCCCTAATGAAAGCGACGACGAGAGCAAAAGTCCAATATACACGATACCCAAATGACCTAGAAATAGAGACCAACCCAGCCGAAAGACGTGATAGATAGCGAGTCTCCTCCGTTTTTGTCGCCAGCCCACCTTTCTCCCATCTGAGGCATTCCACCGCCTGGCGCGGTATCGAAACCCGATCCCTGGAGACCAATGGCAGTATGCGACTTTGCCTTGAACGACACTGGCCCGTTGAACGATGCCTGCTTGTAGGTGAGGTACAAGTCACCTGCAGACATCACGGCAGTATTGTGAACACTGTCGATTGGCCTGCCGATAGCGTTGATGTACTCGAAGTCGGAGCGCCCGTGACCAGTCCTGGTCGAAAGGTGCGCAGGCGGGAAAGCTTCCGACTCTCCGCCGTCACTTGGGAGGCGGTATGCGGTGGTGACGACCTTGAGGTTGGAGACGGTGTCGTATCGGAAAGTGTCGACGACTGTTTCGTTCGCGAGGGCGACTGAGCCGACGATGTACCCGCCGTCCGATCGGAGTTCTGTGTGGTCGGAAGCGAGGTCCGCATTCGGGAGGAGGAGGTTCTTCGACGCCCGCGAACGTAACGTCACCAATAGGTCGCTGAGCTCGCGCGGCGAGTTGCTGAAAGAGTCGGCGAACTTGACTTGTGCGACCGACGTCGAGTAAACGGAGAGACGTCTGAGAGTCGGGGGTATGAAGACCGTCACATCATAGCGCATGCAAGACGAGGTGGACGGCGCGTCGAGCGGTGTGCTGATGCGGTAGTAGCTCTTCCCCTGGGGCTCTCTCGAGTCAGAAAGGCCGACGGTAACGGTGTCGAGGAGCGCCTGTTCGTTGGTGCGGATGGTTGTCTTCACCTTGATCTCCGAGTCGTCGATACTGTCGCTGGGTGCGATCTCGAGTGTGCCGACAGCTCCTCCTTTGATGTTGATTTCGTGTTCAGCGAAGCGACCGATTGGGATGGTGTAGTAAATGCCATCCGTTGAGCCTTGGAACCAATGCGAGGCAGACGCGTCCTCGCAGCCAAGAGAAGAGCTGTACGCTGGCATGTCCTCCAAACCAGTTGGAGAAGGCTACAAGAGACGAATGAGAGAACGTAATAAAACAAACATTCTCGACTGACTGTCATCATCCATCGGGCGAACTTGAACAAATTCCAAACTGTAAATATAACGACAACGATTCCAAGTGCCTTGCAGAATAGCGCGCAGCTGCGAAAATTGAGATAAGATTCTGATGAGAGAGATCTTGGCGCTGCTTACTTGAGACCGCAGCACATACAACAGTTCTTTTTGCGTTTTGTCTTGCGAGGCATAGGTATCTCCGTGTCAATGGCGGTGGTCAATCCGATGGCACTCTCTGCGTCGTCGTCACTGTCATCGCGGTACGAAGGAGGCGCCAATGGGTTATTCGAGTTGGGTTCCTCAGGAACTTTCTTGTCTAAATTTCGAGTTCAAGTTCGCGTCAGTAACGAAGTTGAATGGTGATGAACCATACCACATACATGCATCCCAGCGCTCCTTCAACGACAGTGCAGCCATGACAATTCCAACCATCCCAAAGAACGAGATTTTCAGACCACCCTTTTGGCGCTCGCGGTTTTCAGATGAATTCGTTGGCAGAGCGATCTCGCCGTTCAAGCGAACCATGGTTCCGTCGCGTTAAGAAAAGGAGTGAATGTCGTAGGAATGAAAGAAGATACAGAGATGGTGATGGTTTGGAGGAAAGAAACGATTGACAGCAATCGACGATGGGCGTTGTGCTTTTGAAACGGAGGAATATCGCCGTGGTGTCTGCCGATCACAGCTTTTGATCGCACGCATCCCGAGTCTTCACGGTACCGATGGGTACAGACATCCGGCTTTGGTCTTGGCGCTATCTGCTTTCAATCTCAATCGACAGGTTTTCTTTTGTGACATCAAAGTCACCAGAGCATCAAGAGGCATCAGAGGTTGATGAAATTATGACTCTTACGAAAGCAATTTCAGAGATCTTGAAGTAAGCGCGGAGTCATTCAAAGTTCTAAAGGCTTCGCTCCTCGGTATCTTCAGTTTCTCTGTAGTTCGGAAAACCGTACGCGGCGGAAGCTTACAAGAGTGCAATAAAATTTCGTGTTTTCCTCCAATTCGCGCTCTCGGCATTTTTCGGGAGTGTACCCCGCCATGCCCGAACGCGCCCTCCCGACGGTTTCTAGCCGAATGGAAACCACTCCGTTGCCATGGCGAGACCTCACGGAGATTAGATCGCTAGCTTCCAACTCTAATTCCTCTTGTTTTCAAGTTTCCTCAGCTTTTCAATCTTGAAGCTACAAGTCGTCTTGACTAGCATTTCTCAGATCTTGCAGACGCACCAAGGTCTTCGTAACAATCTTCCTATGCAATTCAATCCGACCTGAGGAAAGGACGGCAAAGGACGAGCTCCTGCCGGCCGCCGTCGGTTTTGGCAGATCATCAAGAGGGCAAGATCGAGCAGACATTGAAAAGGTGGCCTTGCTCCATATATGCCAGGAGTAATCCGTACGAGTGATCCTCGACGGTAGGCTTTGCCTCCCACTCTGATGTCGCCTTTCACCCTCGACCGACCCACCGCCTTTCCTTGACATCCAAAAATCATTCCAGTCGTTCTTGGATTCTCTCGTCGTTCATTTCATAATGTCTACAACTCCAGCTCCGAGCAGCACTTCCACTAGTACCTCTCTCAAATTTTATACAACCACAGTTCCGAGTATCCTGGACAGTCTGAACTCGTCAGACGAGGTGAGGAGACATGCACAATTATCGCGAGAGCAGTCGAACTGACGTACTTTCTTCGTAGGTTATTGATGACACCGACCAGCGAGTCGTGTATAATGGTTCATGGACGCAGAACCTCAATGACGGCGGCGTGCCAAGCGGGACATCGCACACCACCATCGTGGCCGGTTCGACCGTGACGCTCAACTTCAATGGAACGGGGATCGATGTCATTGGAACCGCCGACCTCGGGGGAGATGTCATCCAAACGCTGTACCAAATCGACTTGAACCGCAATGCATCACTTCCTAGACAGCTCACGTCGGTGTCGGGCACCCAGATCGCCATCGCCTGCCAAACATTCTTCAGCTTGAGGAATATGGCGCCAGGAGCGCACACCCTCGAGATCACAGTCACCAGTGGTGTTGCCCCGAGGGCATACACGCTCGACTCTTTCGTTGTTATCAATGGTGATAGCAACGGAGCCAGCAGTGTGAGCATAGGCCCAACCGCAAATTTATTGGGATCTAATGCGACCACTTCGGCCTCGGCTACGACCACGGAGCTGTCTTCGGTTTCCTCGTCGACCTTTACGACATCCACTTCGGAATCGTCTTCAGCACTATCGAATACCCCGACCGCTGATGCGGTACCTTCCTCCACACTCTCTGCTTTTACCGATACCCAAACCCAAGCTTCCACTTCAGCAGCGAGCCGTATGTCTGGGGGGAAGATCGCCGGCCTGGTCGTCGGAATCTTCGCTGGAGTCCTTTTCATTATCGCGATTATCCTCACCCTCTATCGTTGGAGAGCAATTTACCGACGCCGTAATCCAAAGCCGGATACAGCTCCGCGTCCACTCGTCAACGAGCGTCATAGGTCCATGGTCAGCTACGACTTTGGGAGTAGAAAAGCCCGGTACGTCTTTCACCTCTTGAGTCGCGGTGCATCGCACAAATTCTAACACTGATATTCGCTCTTCAGCTATGAATCCGGGATGTTACAGCCGCCGAGATATGAACTCCACCAGAGCACTTCCCCTGGCCCTCCATCGGACGACGTGATAGCGACGTGGGCCAACGCTTTCGACCCCGATATTCAACGAGTAGGCAGTTATTTTTGAGCCGACTATATGCTCTGGTTTTCTCCTAAGTTTTTTTTATCTCTCGCATTATATTGGTCGAGTGTTTTCACCAAGGAAATTATGTTCGTTTTGAAATAACTTTGTTGGATCTTCTTTCTCTATGGACTTTGGATAAGAGAGCTGAATTATAAGATTGACTTCGAGAACTTACTGTTGGTTCGCGGAAAAGAAACCCCGGGTTACGGGTCCTTGTATGCTGAGGTACTCGTATGAAATTCGAATCAGTTTCGAAGCACCCCGGCCACGCTAAGGCGATATGCTGGCTGACGTTGATCGGTGAAAGGAACGGGATTGAATCGTTAACACCCTGAGATCGGACGATATGTTGTTGCCTGAAAGGAAACCAAAGAAACTGAATTGTGGGCCAGGCTCGACATTCGCAAGCACGTGGGGAAGTCTGGGGTGTGCCCAGCAAGCGCCGAATCTAAGCGCTTGGTGCGGAGGCCGCAGATCAAAGAACCCGTCGATCCTTGCTCCGTATGTCGTGACGATATCTATTGCGCTCGGAGGGATGCCTTTTCCGTTCGCTGCCCTCTCGTTTGATGGTCGTCGCCGTTGGGTTCGCGAGGCTTCGCTTCGGTCTCTCATGTCCTTTTCACCCCCTCTTCGAACATAACTTCGTTCAGCGACCACGACGTCTTGAACCCGTCTCGTTTTCAATTCGAGGTTTCTGCTCATCTATCCTCGTCGTCGGGTCCGTCGTCTGAAGAGGATCGAGATGTCGAGCACTATCACCTCGAGTGCGAAATCCACCTCGACGTCTACATCGATCGTCTTCCACACCACCACTGTTCCGAGCGCTTTGGATGATCTGAACTCATCAGAGGAGGTACGCACTTCACGAGGTCTTACTCCAGAACGGAATCGCCCATCGTTTTGCCTCTCCTTCAGGTTATCGACGATACAGACCCATCAATCGTCTATACGGGTTCCTGGACGCTGGCCCTCACAGAT